ACAATCTGATATTTTAATTTTTCTTTAAAATTTTTCTTCTTTTTTATTTTCGTTATAAAAATAGTATTTTAAAAATATTGAACAATTATTATTTATGATAAACCAAATAATTACATATACAAACGATTTATTTGGCAAAATACTGAGCCCAAAATGTTAACAATAAAAATGAAACTGTGATCGAATAAATAAACCCCCGTAAGAGTAGTTCTTATATTTATTATCTTCCAGGAATGAATTCGTTCTTAGGGATGAACTCCTTACGACTCGGAATCAGGCAGTAGGTATTTTATTTGATCGATCGAGTAAACGGAAATAAAATATCTATTTTAAAGAGTAAAAAAACGAAGATACAGAGAAAAGGATGGACAAGAAAAGGACAGTTACTTCTTTCCTAGGGATCGATTTATTCGACCTCGAAAAGGGTAAGACAGAGACGAGAAGGTTTTCGTGACAAGGTGTCCTCGAACGCGTTACTCCACAGCTTCCCGACGTACACGTCGCATTGTCCGTTCGTAGTCGGCACTTAATCTTCCTTTAGCTTTCAGGATCTGTCGCTTTGCTCTCGCGAGACGCGTTGACACGTCACTCTTTGAAATCTACGTTCCCTCTTCAACGTATATATATATATATACCTATTTACTTTTCGTAGAAACTCCTCGTGAAAAGATTTCCTACCATACTTTTGGTATACCGTGAAAGAATTCTACGAAAAGAAAAATAAAAAACAAAGAAAATGAAAGAAGTATTGGATCAGTAAATAAGCCATGGGTTAAATTGTACACGGAAGTTATAGAAATGCTGTTTTTTTTATTATTTGGTTCTTCTTATTCTTCACTCGTCTAGACCATTAACTACTATACTGTTCAAGCTAATAGAATCGATAATGAACGATGATCATGATCATCGATTGGCATCCTCGAAGAATACTACCAAAGAGTCATAAACTCCTTCGTCGTTACCTTCTCGAATAAGAACGATCGTAAAGCTAGACGTCGAGAGAGAAAGAGAAGAGCGAGCTTGCAACTTCAAGAGCTCGCAATATCGCTTTAGAGTTTCAAATCTTTCTTAGATAGAAAACAGGTGGCTGCTGTGTTCGCGTAATTCACAAACATACTCTCTCTCCCTCTCCCTCTTCTTTTTTCTCCCTTTCTCTTTTCCCTGTCTTTATTTCTTTCAATCCTCTTTAAAAGAAGAAGAAGAAGAAGAAAAAGAATAAGATTCTTCTTTGTACCTACCGGCTGTTATCTTTCGCTCAGTTATTTTATGACGTTTGTGAAGCACATCTTGAAAGAAGGGATGCTGGTTTCTCGCATACCAACCTTGAATAGCCACCTTCGAGATAGGCTCGTGAAACGATAATAGCTATTAGCATCGTATTTATCAATCCCTAACCTAGAAAATCTCATTCCTTGTAATCTCATAAGTTTAACGAGTTACCCAACGAACAACCGACGACCTCCAATCACTGGAAATGCAATTTTCTTCGTTCGTTCTATGTTTTATCTTCGCTTTCGTAGCTGTCCTTCAAACTTGAATCGTATACTACTTAAAACTTTACTTACGTCGAGATTTAAAAGTCGTTCGGAAAGATCGAGCACTCTGTAATTTCTTAATCGATTTTCCAATCTCTCTTTCTCTCTCGATGATAATTCTCAGACACCACACACGAGCACGCTAGAAACTACTGTCGAGTTAACATATTCATGATATACTACTTTGTTACCTGTCTTTTAAGGACTACACGAACCTACCTTCTTCAATCTCTTTCATTGATCTTTTTTTCTTTTTTTCCTTTTTTCTTTTTATTTTATTTTTACCTTTTTGTTTTTAATCGTGATTACCCGCATCTTCGAACGCACGAAGGAGAATCTTTAAGATTACCGAATCAAGTTTTCCTTCCTTTCTCCAAAGCCTTCTCAAAGAGTTCCCTCTCTATTTATGACAAATTATATAGAATGGTATAATGATTCGCTATATTCTATTGATTTATATCGTTAAATACTTTACCAAAGGAATCTTAATTAAACCACCTTATAAACTACTTTTTACTTCTTCCAATATTGCAATTTAAATGTTTCTCAAACTACCATGTGATCGGTAATTGAAGGATTTTATTTTACATTCATACTCGCGCTCATTCCAATTACATTTATATACCTGCTAATTAATGAACTCTTATATAAGATACAAATAAAATAAAATAAAAAAAATATATATATAGAAAATTTTTAAATATACATATATATTATTTCTTTTGTATAAATTAAATTTCTTAAAGAAGAGAAGTATCGATGTTTCGATTGGTTTAAATTTATTATAAAAATGAGACAAAATTATATATATGAGAGAAAAGTGATATAAATTATCGTGAATATTGTTTCTTTTTTTTTTTTGTTTCTTGGTTGAATCGATTTAAGTAAAGTAAAGCTCGTGCTAATTTTACATCCTTCTCGGCTTTGTCATCACCTTTAACGATGATACACGGGTACTTCGGGAGCATCTTTTCTCTCTCTCTCTCTCGTCTCTAGAAATTCATTGTAACTTGGTCGCGACGATGCACACTGAGAACGAGGACGAGTGTACCGGTCTTAAATCTTCGAGCCTATACCGCTCGAGCTCCGACTTCTAACGGGCAAGGGACTATAAATCGTAGCTCGAACGAACGCGTCCGATGAAATAGTACCTGTTGCAACAATGTTAATGTCTTCGCTTGGAAATAATTTAACGTGGCCTAGTACGATCTTGTAATTTCACAACTGAGTTTTTCTTTTCTTACGTTTTCAAAAAAAAAAAAAGAAAAAGTTTCTTCTTAAAACAATATAATAAGACGTTACTTTTAAAATTATATTGTAAATAAAATTTGTTAGGGGTATTTTTTGGTCAGATGTTTCTTTCTTTTTTTATTATTTACCTAACGAAAATTTTGTACAAGAAAATATGTAATTACGTTTGTTCATCTCTTTGACTCGTTTTAATAATATTTTTTTTATTCTATTCGATAAGAACTTGTTTATGTTTTGTACATTTGAATTCTATATAAATAAATGATTGAGTAATGTTTTTTTTTTTTAATTTATTATAAATGGAAGATAGTATATATAATCAAGATTTCGAATAATTTGATCAATCATTTATAGGTGCGGGTACGTAAAGATAAGCCAAAGCGTAGCTAACAATAAGTAGCAACTACATGAGAGAATCTGATTCTTTTTTTGATCCTTTTTCTCTCTCTCTCTCTCTCTTTCTTAAGTAAAGTAGCTTCGGAGACAAGAATCACCGTAGAACGCGCATACGCACAAAGCCATACGTCATGTCCCCTCGTTTAATGGTCTTTTAATACTACCTCGAGAAAGTATGTGTTTCCCACCCACGATGTTATTCGACTGAGAAGCGCCTTGAACGTTTAACAAAATCTATGGGATCGTGTAAATTTCATTTATTGGATTAACTTTTCGTTAGAACGTTAGATTGATTTTTGATATTTTATTGTTAGAATATTTTTCTTTTCTTCATGCTAACACACACTTAACAAATAAATATTAAAATGGAATAATTAAAATAAAATATTTTTTCTATGATTTAATTATTCAGTTGAATTCCATTATATTATAAAACAAACGATAGAAAATATTTTCTTCTCCCATAAGTGTTTTATTATGAAGAATGGATACACGTTTGAACGCGTTACACGCATACTCGTACATCCACACACACACAAACACATGTTCTAAGTCATCCTGTAAAATTTTACGATCCTTCGAGATGCGGGTAAAAGTGCGACGTTAAAGTGTAACGTAAGGTGTTACGTTCGATTTGATTATTTGTTAGAAAATGGGGCAGAAGAATCGACAAAAAAAATAAAAAGAAAAAGAAGAAGTAGAAATAGGAGGAGGAAGAAGAACACGTTTATACGTTATCGCAAATATTTTCTATAAAATGCGAAGCACTCGATCGCAAGGAATCTCGTTCGTAATAAGTAAATAAATAATGAAAAAGAGAGCATGCGTGTATCGTAAGGAAACAAACGCAATAAAATATATTTCGAAATGTTGTTCTTTTTCTTATGTGATTTCTCTTCTTCTTCTTCTTCACTTTTCTTCGAGTATTTTGCATGACGTCGCATCGTTTACAGCAACGTCACGTCGTAACGACGTCAAACATTAACAAAAATCGGAGAACTCGACTGATAAAGACGCATTGCTTGCTTTTGTTTATTTTTTTTTAAACAAGACGAGAATGACTTTTTAATTTCGCATGACGACCTAAGATCGTAAAGACAGGAATTTAACGAGAACCCTTCCTTCATTTTTATTTCCCACGAACGCATCGGAGTTAGTTATCGCTTGTTGAAAGTGAACTGCCCCTGGCTTCGTTAAATTCCCTCATTTACGACTATTACTACTCGTCGTACAATTTTCCGCTATTGAGAGTTCTTCCTCTATTTTTATTTTTCTCATCGTTAATTTTCGACTTTTTCCCTTTCTCTCCCATTTTGATTTTAAAACCAAACATAAACATGACATGAAGAAATTAATGAGTTTATTTTTATACATGAGAAATCGTGAATGATCCAAATCACTTATATTATTGTTTTAAAGTCTTATTGAACTCTTATTATCTATTCCAACCGCGTATCTTTTTAATTTGATTAAAGAAAAAGAAAAATATCTTATATAAAACCAAAGCAAATCTCGGTTAATATTATTACGGTAATAATAAATATTTTTTCGAGTATTAATGTAGATTTCAAATTACACCACACCATTAATTCCATTCATTCAATATTTTTTTTTATAAGTAAAAAAACAGTAATACTTAAAATGAAAAAAAAAGAAAAAAAGGAAAGAAAAAAAATATTCTCCTAAGCGTATTAACTTCGCATCAAAAAATGAATAAATTATTCTAATATGAATTCATAATCATCTGAAAAGAAAAAAAACAGAAAATAAAATAAAATAAAATAAAAAAAGAAGAAGAGTAAGAGAAAGATCATTTGAATTTACGTAAATGATCTTTGAACGATCATTCTCGTTCTTTGAAGGACCACGCCGATCTTCTAATCCTTTTTTTTCTTTTCCTTTTCTCGTTGTATTTTTATCTCTTTATATTCCTCTTCTTTTTTTTTCTATGCCAGAAAGTAGCTTCATTAAGGTCAACGTGCGCGCGCTCGCGCACGCACATCGTGTGTTTCGCCTGTCCATCGAACATATATTTACGAGCAAGCAATTTCGTTACACCGAGAGAGATACTCTTTGGCGGCGGCCCTTTTACGACAGAAGGTTGTTACACCTAATGCTTATTAAACCGCCGCTCACCATTATTATCACTAATTTCGTTATATTCTTTTGCGATACATGTTAGTCTATATGGATCTCGAAAGAGAAAGATTCCCCCATTAGAGTCGCGTGGTCCTATGCCTATTCTATAAGCTTTTAAAAGTATTTTGAATAAAAAAAAAACAAAAAAAAAAGAGAAGAAAAAAAACACTCTACTCTAATCTCGATATTAGGCTAGCGTGAATAACATCGAATATTATTATTATAATAATAATACCTTCCATCACTAACTCATTACAATCGTTCCTTATTCCAAAAGTGATTTTTTTCTCTTTCTTTCTTTCTTTCTCCTCCTCCTTCGTCATTAAATCCTTCCTATCGTAAAAACCCTAATTCACACCCCGAGGTTGATTGAAAATTCTTAATCGATTTCTTTCTAATCGACGAGTTTCTTTTTTATTCAATCAAATTTAACTACTTGTCTGGCTTTTTCGTATCCTCTTCCGTTGACGTTGTCGAAGATTTCTTTCTTCTCGTAACTATTTTTGTCCCGCCACATTTTAATAAAAACTTCAATTCGCTTATCAATTCCTCCTTGAAAGAAACCTGCCAATAATAATTATTTTAAAATTGAAAAGAATTTATTGTAACTATCCTTTTTTGTTTTATAAGACTCTTTGAGAATTATAAATTAAATTATTATATTATTAAAAAAAAAATATATAGGAAAAGAGTATAGGAGATATTATAACGAAACTTAATGCACATTATACGATTATAACTTACATTTTCGGTAACAGAAACGTTTCGTATGTGCCAGACAAAAGACCAAATTGTACCTATCCAGGATACAGCGAGACCACTTCCGAGAGCAATAAACACACCACTAACGTCTTCATAATTCAATGGATTGGCAATTGCAGCTGGTTTTTCCTAAAATCATGCGATATCAACGATTAGAACAAATATTATAAACCATTAAGAAAACTCTTAAGTAACTCGAGAATTTATTTAAATAAAATCGTGGAAGGTAGAGTATAATATAACATTATCAACAGTTAGTATTAATCAGGGCACATGGGAGAAAGAGAAAATCATATGACGCCATTTAACGATCGAATTATATCGAGACTGGTATCGAAGTACTCACACTACATTTATCCCCACCCCTTTTTTGCCTCCACCATTTATCTTGGAGTTCGGTTATCATGCCAGCCTCCTTCAGCTTCAGTATCGCACCGCTTAGCTGGTTCCGATAATATATATCTGCAAAGACAGCATATATTTCTTCTACCCTACATCGTCTTTCTTTCTTTGTTTTTTTCTTCCTTTCTCTTTCTCTTACTTTCTTTTTTATTTATTTATTTTTTCCTTTCAATTCAAAAAGTTTTGAATCGAATACGTACAGACTGTTCCAAACAGCTTCATTTTAAAAGTATATTTTATATATTACAGATGAACGCGTGTGTACAAAAAAATAATAGGAATTTTTCTGCTCTAAGTTATAATTAATTGTGAGTTTTCATTTGGTTTAATGTTTTTGTCTTAAAATATGTGTTACACACCTTTTATTACGCGACAGGACGTAACATATGCTTGAAACAGTTTATATTTATATATGCGTTATGTTAAAAATTGATAACTAACTTTAAATGTATACCTTTTTTCATGGCAATCCCATAACCCTTTTGATCCAACAAACCACCAACTTTGGTGACGTTGCAGTTCCTTTGTGTAAAATATTCTATTGACGTAGATTCCATGAAGAATGCATAATTCTCTTGCTGCACTTTTTTCAAACCGTCTTCGTTGTTATCCGTTAGAACCTCGCTTGCGTGTTCCATCATGTAGTCGTACATGAGTTTGTAGGGCTCGTAGGTTGCCGTCTTGATATGGTAGATTTCAAATTAAGATTAATTGATATGTGATTTAAATAAATACGTGCATTACATTTATATTTTAAGAACATTGATTTCTTAAGAAACTTTCCCAAATAAGTTTCAGTTTATAAAATAAAATAATTTCTCATTATTCCATATAAAACATATTAATTAAATTAAAAAAATAAAAAAATTGAGTAAACTGTATTCTACGAAATATAGAATAAAAAAAAAACTAAATCACTCATGTAATAATTACATAATTAATTATCAAACAATATTTTCAAATGAATAGCATTTAAAAAAAAAAATTTGTTTCTTTAATTATACTGATACTTTCTCAGCACATGAATCAAAGATCTATAATTAAAGATAAAGAAATAAATTTTTCTCTGGAGTGTGCATTAAAACGATTAATTCATAATCGAACGATCGATCATGGTACTCATATTTTTTTATTTATAATACTAAAGGTAGGTAAGAAAATGTTTTTACCTTGAAAAACGAGATGGTAGATCCGTCTCTCTTTGCCCCGTATTTGATTTCGTTTTGATAGGGTAACTCGTCTGCCTTCGTAAAGGGCCATACTGTTGGACTGGTAGATAAAGCTGCTGCTAGATTGGCGGTGTAAGTTGCGTTTATTATTAGATTAAAACACCACCATGTTGTACCTATTGCTCTCGTTGAAATACCTCTAAGAAAAAAAATAAATCGAAAGGTTATTAATCGATCATACTCGAACGGATGCCTGCTGTTCGCTTTCGCGAATGAAGATATCATCTCTGACACCATCCATTCTTTAGACGAAAGGTTCTCAAAGTGTGGTTCGCAAATGGAGTCGTTGATATTTAACAAAAATTCCAAAATTTTTTGACGCGAAACGACCGAAAATTAATTTAAAAGCAGTTTTGTAATGCTACACGTATAACATGTCTGTGAGTGTATTATAATGAAAGAGACGATAAAGTCTACTATATGTTCAGGATCACAAAAATATTTGTTCGGGTAAAGTGCGCTCGCAAAGTGAAAGAGTTTGAAAGGACCGTTTTAAATTACTTTCGATATTTTTGTTCGATTAGTTTTGACCAAATAAAAAATAAACAAAAAAATTCATTCTCTTTCAAAAGATACACGCATACACATGTACATATATATATGTATATATTAATAATAAAAATCAAACGATAAGTTAGGTTGACATTCTTAAATTTATCGAAAAATTATTAGCACTTTTAACTTGGTTCCTTTCAAATAGCTAAAAATGGGTTAAAGAACGTTCTCTGTTTCTTTTAAACGAAAAACTTCTGTCACCTGCAGGTAACCATTAATCGAGAAGTTAAGATGTATAGTATTGTGTATATATGTGTGTAAGTATGCTAGGTAGGAAACGTTGCTCTATCTTTTATTCTCCTTTCGAGAATGATAAATGAGTTACTTTTCACGTTTATTTACAATTAGATAAATTCGAAACGATAAGAAAATACTTTTCTTATTCAACAACAAAACTTCTAGTCTAATGATTACAATTTTTCGAATTATAATTTTACGACACATAATTTTCGGTTAAAAATTTTGCAATTTATGTTATTACTTTTTTTAATAATTATTATTATTACCTGTAAGAAAGAAGGTATAAAATTGAATTCAACGTTTAATATTGTCGACTCACCCAGGAGCGAAATCAGATGCACCATTAAGTAAAGTTGCAATAGTGAAAAATGGAGTGTCGACCATCGTGTAAGGTGTTTCTAATTCTTCTGGCTCGGTTATACAAGGATACGGATTGGTCCATTCGGCTGCACTCATTCTTCCATTGATATACAATACGAGGCTCACGATAATCCATGATCCAAAAATGTAACTCCATACTTCATAAGAGAATGGTAAAAGAAATGAAGTCCAACTTGGTGGTGCCTGTGTCGGTTGTCTGTAAAGTACACTTATACCTAAAAATAACAATAATATAAGATATTTATTAATTTTTTTATTTCAATTAATTGTTTATTAAAAATTAGATTAATATTACCTAAATTCATAAAGGGTGTTGTAAAATCTACCGCACTCTCTCGTTCAGAAGTGATCGTTAAATCTGTAATCGCAAGATCTGCTTTCTGCAATAAACAAATTATTCAATTATTTATTAATATTCTTATATAATAATGTTAATGAATTATTATAGTAAGTCTCTGTACCGACTAAAAGTAAGATGCTTGGAAGAACGTGCGGAGTAAGATTGCTTCCTTACCGATAGTGATTCAGATAGCAGCACTGACTATACACACTATACTGATCTATTAAAAATATCTTTTTTTCTTTTTTTGTGAAAAAAAAAATACAAATTATTAGTACAAAAAATCCATCTGATTATTAAACTTACACCGTCTCTAATTTTTCTAATCATCCCATTCCATTCTCCAGTAGCTTTTTGCAAAGAACCGTAAACGTTATCTTCTTGTACTTCAAAGGTGTAATTAAATCCTAACAGTTTGCTCATTTCGTCTATGACGTCAATAGCGAAACCTTCGTAACGATCATTACCTGTCCTCAAATCAGGTGATTCTTTGTACATTCCATATGGATAAGTCTGAAAAAAACTCCCCATAAATAAAAAAATTTTGATTTATTACTAATACGAGAGTTTTTTTAGAGTTGGAAACTTTTAAATCTTGACAAAAAGTTTTCATTTTTTCTTAAGTAAAAATAAGTTTGATCGAGATAAGCAAAATGTTTCAATATCGAATTCAGAACTTTTCAACTCAGCCACGTATTATATAATTGCAATCCTTAATTCATTTTTTTAAAAAGAATTTTACCAGAGATATCAAAACGATGAAATGTTTGTCTTGCAATACTTTAATCTCATTGGCTGGAAGGCCAGATTTTTGTACCCATCGAATACTATTCGTACTATACCAATCACCAACTTTATTTAATCCTTTTATGTTAAGACTGACGATTTCTAATTTAAAATCACTTCGGTATCCTGATGTGTCGAATTTCACTAGTCCACTTAACCCATGCATATTTTCCTAAATAAATAAATAAATAAATAAGTAACTAAAAATTGTGTACATTTCTAAAACGTATGATATCTCTAAAGAAAAATAAAAAGCATGGAAAAAGAACTTACGGCACGAATAAAATTGCTCAAACTATTACCAAATTCCCAATTATCTGTCTCGTTGCATGCTAATTTTTTAAAATCACCATTAACACTGTTCTCCAACAGTGCCATGCCTTTGGCAAAAATTTGCACAGCATCGAAGGCCAATGCTGCTTCGAGTCTTAATTGCGTTGGATCTGTTAAGTTCCAATCGAGATAAAAAGTATTATAAATATCCAAGAGATAAGGGTCTTTTGGATTTATCATTCTTACACCCGTCACGTTTACACCTGAGTATTGATAAGGTTCCAGATCTAATGTTTGGAAGTCCAGATTTGTCACGATTATGTTATACTTTTGTAACATTAAACCAACTTGTTGGGTTTGTTCGAGAACCGTAGATAAAGTTTCATACGAACAATCGATCACTATGTTGATCACTCCCGACATTTTGACGGTTCGTAAAATATCTCTGAGTTTATAATCGAAGTGTTATTAATTTCTATTGAATTCAATTTAGAAAATTATATTAATGAGCTTTGTTTTTTTTGTTACCTGTAATTTGGACCATTACCGAGATGATAAATCGTAATCTCGTAACCAACTATTTCTTGAAGTTCCAATACACGTTGCAAACTTAACAAACTTTCTGTATTGTCATACAAAATTGCATATTCTTTCCAATTGAAATCTTTTATTATATTGTAATAAACCTAAACGGAGGGAGGGACGATAAGATTGTAATTAAATCATAAAGATTTATCGAACGTGTAAGTGGAAATTATATGGAGTGAGGAGGAGGTTTCTTTTTTTACCATTGAGAGAACTTCGGGATGAGGATATAAATTAATTGAATTTCCTCGAGTTTGTTCGGGATCCCATGTAGTGGTAATGTATGGCAAATCCATAGCATCGCACATACTTTGAACAAAATACGATGCAGATTTGTCTTTCGGTCCGAACAAACCAGCTATGCCCTTTTCCAAAAGTTTGCACGCTATGCACAAAATTTTCATTTGGTTGATCGAATCGAAATTAAAAGTAATACATTATCTGTATAATTTGTGAATAGAAATATTTTTATAGTCTCTAACTTTTGTTTGTAATACGAAATGATATTTTAATAGGATAACAAAATCTAATCGGACTAGAAATATTTTTATTAGGCTTACTTTTTTCTGCTGCATCGAAGGTATCGCTGTCAATTTGTTCCGATCTTAATGTTAAAGCTTTAATATCGTTTGATATTTCAGCATTTCTGTTAACATCTTTGATCGATAAATAAAACGCTGTTTCAATCATTTCATCCCCATCGAAAAGAACTCCTATAGTTATTTAAATAACATATCGTATTTATTTTTTTATAGCACGCGTCATTTATTTTATATTTTTAAAAATTATTTTACTTACCGATTGGAACTTCTCTTGGAAATCCTTGAATGCAAGGTAATAAAAACAGGACGACACATATGAGAAGCATTTTTTTAACCATTCTGTGAACGTGATAAAATCATTTTCTTTTTATTTGTTTTTTTATTGCCTCATCCCATATTGAAGTTTTAATAAAATCGTATTAGAAACAAATTTAGATTTCATTCATTTTTTATTTGATTTCTAGATTAAATATATTTGCTTTTCTTTTTTTATTATTTTGTTATTTTATTTTTTTTTAAATAAACATTGCACGTTTTCACACTACATAATGCATTGGCACACGAACTTAGGTACATACGATATAATTAGAAACTTTAGCCGCACCAGCGAGGTATAACTACGAGCACAGCTCGTGACATAGTTTCGGTGATTGCAAAAATGTATCTTTAGGATTCATTTTATTTTAATTTTTAGAAAAATTTAACAAATATTATCTAATCTATATTATTTCTACGAAAACCATAATTTAGTGTTAATAAAGTATTAAATACAATAAACAATCGTTATTATTGAATATTATCAGCATTTTCACGTTTAAATCATTTCATTAATTTCATGATATTGTTAATGAAAAATCTTTCACAAACCTTTCTTTTTTTTTAAGGATAAATAAAATCCATTAATAAATGTAATCTCATTAATGCACGATACAAATTTTTAATGAATTATCGTAGAAGAGTAAAATTTATAAACGGCACTTAAAACGAATCTTCATCGACTGAGCAGCATCCGTACTATCGTATGGCTGCTGCCAAACTATTTTCTCATAGACCAACAGTTAGAGGGAGTCTTGTCTAGGTCAGGAAATAGGAAATATCGAGTGGACATGTTCATGCCAAAAAACATGATTTCGCGGTTATGAGTCTTATCGTTGATATTCAAAACTTCTTAGACGCTCACACATATATATATATAAATAGTATAACATACATAGATGCATCAAAACTAATTGAAAGTAGAACGAAATTGTAGATTTAATTCCAAGTTGAAATTTGTACGATTGCTAATCAAAGAATTAGGTTTATCCTCATGCTATTTTCAATCTTGTCTATTTCGGGTGAGTTCAGTTAGAATTTAGACCGAGTGAATGGTATGTTTACTCAAACAGTTGATTTAACGAATGGTAATGAATGTTTCTGTCAACGTTCTAACTAATAGTAGATTTTGAAGATGATATTATAATAATCAAAAATTTTTCAATTGTCATCGTCCGGTGATGTTGTGATTACAGTTGGTACGAATCCATAAGGAGGACTGCAATCTTCTGTACTATCTTCTCCACTTCTTTGCGATAAACTTTTCCTATGTCTCACTGGTTTAGTCTCGGTAGTACACTTGGCTATGAATCTCAACTCCTCCATCATTTCTTCTTTAAATGATAACTAAAATACAAAATCAAATTAGTTTGATTAATGAAACAAAGTCGGATATTTACAAATATAATGATAGAAAATTTGCCACTTACATTTTCTTTGATTGATTTCATAGCAACATCCCAAACGAGCTCGAATATCGTATAAAGCAAAGAAAATCCAATACCAACGAAAAGTACCAAGAAAACACCACCGACGTTAGACAAATTCAATTCCTCTGCTGAACTTGGTGCACCACCTTCCTGTAAAAAATTCAAATATCATTTTAATACACGTAATAAAACAATATAATTATGTTTATAGGTATAACTTACTTCGCATTTACCACCACCGCGTTTTTGGGTCCACCATTTTTTTTTGAGCTCGGTCACTCTACCACTCTCTTGTAATTTTAAAATCGCCGTATTTAATTGATGACGATAGAGAGAATCTAAAAAATAAATTCGATTTTTGTAAATGTCGAGAGATAAATTAATAATATTTGATATTAATTACTTTTCTTCATAGCAATCCCATAGCCCTTTTGATCCAACAATCCACCAACTTTGGTAACGTTGCATTCCCTTTGAATGATGTACTCGATCGAACTGGATTCCATTAAGAAAGCATAATTTTCTTTCAGGACCTTCTTCAAACCCTCGTCGTTGTCCTTGGTCAAGACATCCTCGGTACTGATCATGTAGTTGTACATGTCCTTGTACGTCTGGTAGGAGGCCTCCTTGGAATTGGCATAATTCTTTCAAAGAGCTGAATTAGAATGACCGTTTCTAAGTTTCATTTGCCTGTTACCTAACTCGAATGTAATGGCATCTTGTGACGAATTAGTTAAGCGATGATTGTTTGGGCCAGAGGATTTTTAGCATTTAACAGGTAGATAGAGGCTATGTTTTCTCTTTCCTGCGGAGAATTATAATAAGCGATTGAAAAAAAAATATATTTTTTGTTTGTTCGTTCTTTTTTTCATTTTTCTTTTTTGTTTCTACGTTCGTCTAGGAAAAACATTTTCATTCGTTTATTTTGAGATTTGGTATATTAAGTGATTCGTACTATGCAAAAAGAAAAAAACAAATGATATCAAACTAGTGATTATAAAATATATTAATAGTTGGGGGGGGTGGGGGAAAATATGTTTTTGAGTAGGGATATACTACTATTTAAAAATGTAAACTAAATACCAAAATTTGTTTATATCTCACATCGGATTGACTATTAGGCGAGCAATAACTAATTCTACAAGCTTCCAAGCTTTTTGTTTATCGGGATAAATTATACATTTCTGATGAATTAAACAATCTGGTTTGAAAAACGTGATAAATAAGCGAGGGAAGCATGAAATCATATTTAATTTATAGCCAAAAGATCTTCGTCATCTAATGTATCGAACGTTGTCTTACTTTTATACTCGTAACATGAATTCCTCTATGGTTTGCTATAGAATACGTGTGTAATGTTTCATTTAATCGTAGACGCAGTAGTACAATCGATTCGCTGTTTTAATTATTTCTAATTGAATATCCTAACGAACGGAAGGAGCATGGGATTGGAAACTTACTTTGAAAAATTCGAACGTAGATCCGCCAACTTTAGCACCGTATTTGATGGTTTTCTGTTTGGCCAATTCCTCGACGTTGGTAAATGGTGGTATGTTAGCAGCTATGGCCAAACAAGCTGTTAAATTAGCTGTGTATGAGGAGATTATAATCAAACAAAAGAACCACCAGCATCCTGCCATCATTCTTGTTGAAAATCCTCTAAAAAATAAAAATGAATTTTTTAAACGGTAACAAAAAAAAAAGTAAGAAAAAAAATTAATATATTGTCAATAAAATGTATTTATTTTTTTAGTGACATTTCATTAATCCCTTCAAGGTTTCTATCACGAATGTGAATATTTAGTTAGAATCCTATTTTCTAATCAGAAAATATATCAAATAAATAAATGAAAAATGTTCTTCTTATAATCGCAAATGAAAAATTCGGCCTTGAAGAGGTTGAAAGATCGATAGATCGACTCACATAGGTGCAACGTCGGAACCTTGTTGCATTATACTTCCTATGGTAAACATAAAGGAATTCTTCAACGAGAACTGGTTCTCCAACTCCTCGGGTTCTTCGATGCAAGGATAAGGATTGTTCCATTCCGCTGGACACAATCTTCCGATCACGGAGAATAACACTGACACAAAGATAAATACCCCTAACAGGCATATCCAAACGTCGTTAGAAAATGGCGAAAGAAACGAGAAGAAACTGGGCGGTGCTTTCGTTGGCCTTTGATACAATATACTTATTCCTATGAATAATGATTCATTAGAATAAATAAGATACGTTTAATTTTATTATTTATCAAGTACTATCGCTTGCAAAATTATTTCTCATTAAAATCGTGTACCTAAGTTCATAAAAGGCATCGTAAAATCCACGGCACTTTCACGGTCGGATGTTATCGTTAGATCGGTAATTGCTAAATCTGCTCTCTAGAAAAAAACAACACTTTGCTATAATATATATTAGTGTTGAATAATTTGTTAATATTTAAATTAATTGAATGTAATTTTTAAATAAATATATTTGTTTTTTTCTTTGACAGAATTAATTTGTTTGGATTATTAAATGAGTATACTTGTAAAGCTTACCCCTTCAATAATTTTTCCCAACATGCCGGACCATTTTCCTGTTTTATTTATATAAGAACCATAAACGCTATCTGTTTGAACTTCGAAAGTGTAATTAAATCCGAGTGATTTGCTAAGCTCTTCAATAATGTCGATTCCAAATCCTTCGTAACGTTCATTGCCAGACAACATCGTAGCAGATTCCTTAACCATTCCGTACGGTTTTGTCTGTAACATTAAACGATTAACGTTGTTTACTGAAAAAAAATTTCATCTGTGATAATAAACCAAAAATTTACCATGGATATTAATACTAAAAATGTCTTATTCTGTAGACTCAATTCAGCATCAGGCTTCATTGAACTCGTCTCTGGCATCCATTCGATTCCACTCATACGGGTGCTATTCCAAACTCCTATTTTTGTTAATCCTTCTAATTGTAGTTGAACAATATCCAATTGAAAATTACTTCGAAATCCAGCAGTATCGAACCATATTAATCCAGTCAATCCTCTCATTTCGGTCTGAAATTGAGTAGTCATTAAATTGCTATTAATCAACCATTTGATTAGTGGATCATTTGTATTGAATATCCAGGGAGTCAATAAATTAGTTCAAAACATATTCTAATAATATGTACGTAGTAAATCATGCATTAATAATTTATTATAAATTTTATGAAAAAAAAATTAATAATCATTTTGATTGAAATTAAAATATAAATAAAATAAAAAATATTATTTTAAGTTTATATAGTCGAAGTAGACAGACCGCCGTACCACACGCATAAAATTCAATAAAGTGCTCCCATGTTCCCAGCTCATCGAACCATTACAAGGCAGCTGTTTGACGTCGTCGTTTGTAACGCCATTTAATTGCTTTAAAGTTTGAGCGAAAAGCTGAACTGCGTCGTACATTAAAGCTGGTTCAAGTCGAAGTTGATCCGGTCCGGATAAGCTCCATTCGTGTTTGTGTTTGTTGAAAATCTCCATTACCGTTGGATCTTCCGGATTGATTAAACGAAAACCAGTAAAGTTTACGCCGGAATAACGGTACGGTTCTAAATTCAATGTTTGGAGATCCTAAAAATATGCATGAGATTTATCATCGATCAAATGCATATAAAAAGATCGATGAAAAAAAAAACTAAAAAAGTAAAAAAAAGAAAACAATAAATAGAAATCTTACTAATGATGTCACAACCACATTATGTTCGTCCGACATAATACCAACTTGTTGAGCCTGTTTGAGAACTTCATTTAAAATTGGAAAGGAACAATCGATCACGATGTTTTCGATTTCAGTTTCCTTGACCTCTTGAATCACGTTCCTGCACAGGATTCGACGCCACACTGTAGAATCGATTAATGCTAATTGTCTCGAAGGACTTACGTTAAAAATAATCATTCAATAATTTTACCTGTAATTCGGACCATTTCCTAATTGAAACAAAAATATGTCAATTCCTGTATTACGAAGTTCTAAAAGTGGTTTAATATTTAACAAACTATCGGTGTTCTCGAATAATATTATCATCTCTTGCCAATCCAGTTCTTGTATTAATACTTGATATGCCTAGAATTATATATATATATATATATATGTAAATTGTTATTCGATTAATTTTTTTGGTTCTTTAATAAGCAAAATTCTATTAAGTACGTGGAGATTTTTCTAAATGAACGAACATCACAAGTGGCATTGATTTATTGTTGGATATAATGGAAAGAAATAATCGAAAACGCACCAAGGACAACGTATTTGCATGTGGATAGAAATTCACTGTTTTCCCGCGTGTTTCTTGTGGGTCCCATCTAACTGTGATATGTGGCATTTCTATCGTGTCGCATATGCTCTGCACATGTTCAGCCATGGCTTTATCTTGTGGACCAAATATGCCAGCCACACCCGTACTAACCATATTGCATACTAATCGTTCGAAGAATTATTTTCTTTTTTTTATTTCAAGTTATATTATTTTTGTATTATTAAAAATAATAATAATAATTACCTTGACTGGTAACATCGAATGCATCATTATTTACTAGTTGAACTTTAGGTTCCAAATAAATATTACTTGGATATTCTCGATTGACCGATCTTATCGATAATTCAAAAGCTTCTTGAATCAATTCATCGTCATCGAAAAAACCTCCTGTGTGAATTTTTATAAAAAATTATTATCAAGAAAATTAGAAAATCAAAATTAAAAGTAATTTTTATTTAAATTACAACACATGACATTTCACATTTGACGATTTGATTTAAAAAATAAAAATACAATTTCATATAGTATATATATTTTATATTAATTGGAATGTGTATACTTATAAAAAATAATTGACAAAATTAGGCTTACCTATGGCGACTTGTTTGGAAAAATTCAAAAGAGACGCAAGGAATATCACCAAAACGTACCATAATTGCATCTTCGTATTGTTCTAAGAAAAATAATAAGACAAATAAAATGAAAATAGGTGGTTGAGAATTTGTAAAATACGTTCGACGAGTTGAAAAGCTCAAGATTTTCTGAGTTATGTGAAAACTCAAACGGAAAGAGCGCACTTAATCGTTTGACGTTAAGTAAACTAACGAAAAGGCATCAAGCAACTGCATCTCGCTCGGCACACATAAATATTTATATCCATCGAGTCCAATATTGAGTCTGCTTATTTACACGAAATTTACAACCCTAATGAAACTCTGTCTTCGAAATAAATCGATTTATCGTTCTTTTCAATCATCCCGTTTCTTACAGACAAACAAATGACAGATTAAAAAATAACACTGCTTCTTGCTTTTAATTCCTTTTTTTCAATTAGTTTATTTCGAAATGTTGAGTTCAAATTGTTATGTGAAATTATGAGACCAAATTTTAAGCGATCGGTTGATTAATTAAACACAAACGCGGACGTTTAAATAAAAAATGAAATATTAAATTAAAAAATTAGATATATAT